CGATGTGAAAAAAGAATAAGATCGTTGTCCTCCGTGATTCATTGAGTAATCGTATAGAATCTCGTTTCGATCGTTCCAGTTCCTTCGAGTGATATCGTTGCGTAAATGGGTTTGCGAAACGCAGTGGTTCCTAATTTTTTCGTATAAGCGGAAGAAAAACTAAAAGTGGAGTGATGAAGCGTGCCGGCTACGATGCGTAGGCTTCGTTCGTATGGTTCGCCTGTAATTCGCAACGAAAATTGTAATCGCCGTTCAATTTCTAGACGCGAGAGGAATGATTACCTGGTGATCCTTTCGAGGTTTCCTTTAGTGTATACGATCGATCAAATGTACCGTTAGTTTCCGTCGGTTTTCGTTTCTGTTTGATTTTACTGTCGAATTGCTTAGGTGTTAACAAATAAGCAACGTGATGTAATCGTTGTACCCCATGACGCCTAAAAGTCCAATAAATGATATTTACAATACTCGTGTGTGTATTTAGTGCATTCCGTTTCCTGTTATCCAGATCCTCGACAGTTTCCTTGTAACCTGCAACTTCCTTTTTGCAACGAAGTTTTAGATGGAAAGTTTGAGGCAAGAATGCTTTAAGAACTTTCACGTAAATCACTTTTTAAAACATATTTAATTCTCCTGTTTTGAAACGGTCATAGTGGAGCTATTAAATCCCAGTAATCAGGAAACATGAGGTAATAAAAAATGTTAAACGAAGGAATTAATTCGTATAATTCGTTTAACCGCCAATTACAAAATAGTTAAATTTGTAATTACTGTTTATGATTACTGAATTGATAATGTAATTAGACTTCGATTAAAGAAACGCAACGAAAAATTCTGTTCGCAATGGAAACCACTTAAGATTCTTAAATACAGAGCAGGAAGGGTACACTTTTTCAAGTCACGTGGATTGAGTCCTCGAAATGAGAGGAAAATCAATCTTACTGCCCTTGCTTCGCCGTGACCAGGCGAAAAGGGAACGAAAACCAGACAAATTGCTCTCACAAAGAAATCACGCGGTTCCTTTCCGCCAACGTGCTCGGTTTCACAGTCATTTCCTCCCTAATCGTTCTTGCCGATGCCTCGAACTCGAACTCTAGGGAACCACGTTGTTTCCCATTACTTCCGTACCCTAACGTCTTTCTTATAGAGCTCCATCGAATCACAGACTGGGAACACTGCAGCCCACTCATCTCGCAGTTTCGTGTCCCACGGAATTTGTCATACCGGCGACATCTTGGAGAACGTTGTTGGCTTAACGATCCCTACGCCACGGGGACGATAAGAAAGACATCGAATGTTGACAAAATGTTGAAGTGGCTTGTAAACATTTCTTACCGAGTCTAATATCTTCCAGAAACTTTTTAAATCTTCTTAAAGTCCCTTCGGTGAGACACATCAATAAGAACAAATTATCTGTATCAGTGCGTCTTTAGTCCCTGATGAAGTCAACTGCAATGATAATGAAACATTAGAAAGTTTTCTATTCGCTTACTCTCAGACGGCAAAATCATTGGATGCACTAAATCGATAAAATTTAATCATAAAACATGTGCAATGAAATAATCATTTTTATATAACTTCTTTCTTACAAAAAAATTTCCAGAAATAATATAACTGACGCAATAGTCACAAATAGTAACAATTATATAAAACTGATCAAACAGCGAACGCACCTTTGTTATTTACGTAAGAATCCATACAAATCCATAGATCAATCCAATGAAATGAGAAACAGGCAGCAGTTTACCAGGCACCCCGAATATAAAAGGCAACAACGATTGCCATGCGAAAAGGAACTTTCACCGTAACGAGAGGGAGAGAGTGAAAGAGCAGAAACGCACCGCGACGCGAATAATATAAATAAAGAGACCCGCTAGACTGTGGCAGACATGCTAATAGAGTCACGCGAAGTGGCTGTGAAAACCTGGCCGTTACGCAACCTGTGTATTTCTTTGCTTAAACGCAACAAGGTTTCCCGGGAGGTGGATGGGAGAAGTCGGCCGCTGCGCCGGAAGTTCGCGACCGCCTACTTCCTTCACGGAGAAGAGGGTGGCGGCTTTTGTCTCATAAAACGGCCACGGAACAGTCTTTCGCCATTTTCATACTCGCGAGAATTCAGAGGGAAAGGGGAGGCAGAAGGTTGAGGACCCAGTGGAAAGAAACACTTGAACTTGGCGTAGCGAAAAAGGAAACT